CACACAAGTACAGGTAGAACATAAAGACAGTTAAACCAGTAAGAAATTGCTATTACAGTGATAAAACAGACATCATAAACCAAAGTCACCTAGGCATGGAAAAAGGCGGCTTTTAATTACACCTTCCCATTTTCCAAAATCAGCTCACACTAGGATGCACATTCACTGCCTCGTCTACAAAGCTGATGAATTCTGACCTGCGGAGCTGCAGCCGCAACGACAGCACTTCTGGGCTCACATGAGGCATCTTAAGCAGGTTTTTTTAAAAAATCAATTGCTTTCATGATAGTTTTCTGTCTGCATGGAGTTTACAGCTTTTGTAGGGTCGCCTCTGTTTCTAGAGCTCATAACGCAAGGCCACAATTCTGACAATGCCCCTTAGATATTATTTACAACCTTTTTTAATGGCCTAAGCATTGTTACAGGCAGCAGCAGTTTATTGAGAAAACACTAGAAATCAGCATCCTAGAGGCTGAAGTTTGACCACACCCGATATTAAGCAGGTATCACCCAGCCTCACAAATCAGTAACTATGCCCAGCCACTGCCAGTACTTAGCCTTTTTTTTTTTTTTTTTACTGCAACATACCTGCTGGAGTCCTTTCTACAAAGTTCAGGATGTTATTGTTTTGTCTTTGGAAAGATGTTGTTTAATTGAAGATATAAATATTGATTTAGAACACGGTCAGATAAGGTTAGCTCATTGTGAAGTAGAGCTGGGAGAAAATCCAGCAGGCTTCTAGGAAACTTTTCCAGTCTAGGTAGCAGCTGCACTGTTGGGCACACGCGTGTCTTATCCATGCACAAACCGCATCGCTTTCTGGAAGCGGTAACACTTGTTAGTTTTGGATACATAGTGCCTCCTCCCAGCTATAGAAACAACAACAACAACAAAAAAGTATTTTCCCTCAAGAATAGCTTTGACTAATCATAGCTGTGACAGAAAAAGTATTTTCCCTCAATAGCTTTGACTAATCATAGCTGTGACAGCTTCCTACCTCCCACTTACCTGATGAGGTTTCTGGTGTTTTCTTTCAAGAAAGACTGAGCGTCTGCCAAAGAATGAACTTTATGGCAATAATAATTTGCTGTGATTGTTCCTTCCCAGCTGTGGGAATGTTTAAATTGCAATGCTAAATGGGGATATAGACTGCAGCTTTCACAGAGATACTATAAGAGGAATACGACCCTACAACCCTGGTTGTAAAATGAGAACCCATCTGAAAGTTCATCCCACTGTTGAACTGGATGCTAGCGTCGCCTTATGACAAAAGGCTCGTATTTCCTGTGCTCTCAGCACCTGCAGCCTCCTCCTGTGAAGAATCTCTTACATGAGAATAGCTGAGGTAATTCCAGTTTTGTGGAGAAGGGAGAAAAAACAAACAAAACCAAAACCTTTTCTTACAGTGACTCTACTTTCTTTGAAGCAGATTCCTCAAACTTACCTGGCTCACAGCTGATGTGCTGGGGATCAACACTAAACGCCCGAGCATAAGCGAGAGAACCCTTGCAGGGTGTTCACAGGGGTCCTACTGTGCTCCCGCTGAAGACAACTCTGGTTTCAGAAACGAAAGTTGGGCCATAACTGAATGCAATGTCTCACTCTACCCTCTCTAAGAAGTTATTCTACCCTCTCTCCCCAGATAATCTCTCTACCAGCTGGGTGCTTTATTAAAATAATATTTGCACTACCAGCTGGGTGCTTTATTAAAATAATATTTGCACTACCAGCTGGGTGCTTTATTAAAATAATATTTGCACTACCAGCTGGGTGCTTTATTAAAATAATATTTGCACTACCCTTAAGGAGATGACACTGAACTGCTCTGCTTTAGGTGTTAACTGCACTTCCTTTTCCTCACAGACCTTTTCCAAAGCAAAGGAGGAGAAATCACTGTGCTAGAGCAGTGCAACTCAACTACTGATGCTAATACTTTAATTCCATGCCCTGAGAGAATTTCTTTGTAAGCCAATACTCTTGTGTATAATACATTTATATACCCTGCATACATGCACTCTGCATATATGTGTGCATGCATGTTTATTAATGACAGTACATCATCCACTTACAAGATTTTCCTACATTAAGTGGCAGCTTTTAAGGAAAAAAATGAACCATTTTTTTGGCCATCAGCTGTATCAGTAGCTGTCAAAAATTGTAGTCTTGGCTCCAATCAAGTTACACATTATACACTTTATTAGTAACATATAATGGTAAGGAGTGATGCCACCCACATATACACATATGTACAATATTGCAGTCAGAGAATATTCATAAGGAACTTTTAATTTTCTCTTGAAACAAAGAATGGGACACTAACAAAAACAAAGTATTACAGCAAAAATCTTTGCTACCTTCATGAGAAGAACAAAGACATGAACAGTAAATAAGATGGGTCTTACATGGAAATACATTTCTCTTAGGAATGTTTTTTGCTTAATTCATTCTAGTTCATGCATTAACATCACTCTTCCCTCTTCACAGACTTCAGACAAAATGGTGGCGGGGGGGAAATCACATGGGATACAATTAACTTAGCTTGTGGTCTATGAATCATTATTAGCCTAAAACACTTAAGAAGGTGGTACATACACATATTGAAAGGCAGCAACCGAAAAGGTCACATGTTCCCATTCATGCAGGAAAACTCGTGAGTTCACAGAATGGAAAATGAAAGCAATAAATGCTTATAGCTTAACCCAATTTCACTTGGTTGTAGATGCACAAGATAGTCCAAAGATTTCTCAAAAAGCATTTTTTCATTAGGCAACACGGGCTGGCAGCTCTAATTGCACACTCCAGTGATTGTCTCTGAAACAGACTGTCTTGAACAAAAGAGATGACCAAGAGGATGAAGTTAGGAAAGCCCTATTAACCCGAAATGATTCATATGTATTCTCCCCACTTCCTCCCTTGTTCTTTCCTCCTCGTAAAACGTGAGCATTCAGCAACAGAAAGAGATGTTATTAAAAGACAAGCACCCATGTACAAAATAAATGCTCTGAAGGACTTTTCTACCAAGCTGAAGAAGAAAGCTCCTGATTGCAGCAATTCCAGACTATGCCTTACAGGTCTGACATTGTCACACCCAGCCAACAGAAACGAGGGGTTTAAGGCCATGTTAGGAATCCTAAACAAAAATGGGTCAACGTTCTCTGGGTCTCTTCCACTGAAGTTAGCAAAAGTTTAACATGGTCTGGAAGAAACAAAGATAGATTGTTATTTTAAAGGCTAATCTCTGAATCTTGTTACACACCCTGGCGGGCGCCTGGGAACTTGGGGCAGCCCCCTTGCTTATGCTCACCATTACATGAGTTCTCTTGCATCCTCCAGAGTTCTCTCGAAGCAATTAAAAGAAAAGCATATTGAAAAGCAAGAGCTGATGCATAGGATTGGGATGCCTCTCCTCACTTGGTTTCCCACTCTATCCTCTCATAGTTGTAATGTAATTCCATTCATTAAACGATTACCTCTTTAAGCAGTTACGATTTTTAGCCCCCACCTCTACCCTTACTGGAGGGCTGAGCCAGAATCTCAAGGCTAAGAGAATCAGAAACCCTCTTTCTAATTCCAGATGGATGTTTGATTGGGTGGATGTTGTTTAAAAACAAAAGTTAAAAGCAGAAAGACCAAAGCCCCAACTACCCCAAACTTTTTTCTGCCATGAGCTAGAACCTCAGTTACCTTGACAGATGGTAAGATTATTGCATAAAATACTGATTTGTTCTTTATTTGCCCTTTATTTTGCTGCTGAGCCTTTTATTTAAATACTTTATCGTTGCGTGGAAATAGCTCACAGGTTTCCAACTTTCAAGCTCCTTTTAGAGGGGGAGTATTAAATCCAGGATGTAAATAAGCCTTCATTATTAGGAATATTTTCTTTTCAGGGACCCAGCAGGGTTTCTAGCATGCCAAAATCTTGTTTGGACCTTTTCAGAGGGTGGGCAAGTAATTTGGCAGAAGATAAAAAAACCACAAGGAGCCAGAAGGGCTACAATATTTTTTTTCAATAATCAGCTGAACATAACTAAAGAAAGGGGAAACTAGTAGTGAGGAAAAGAATTAAAAAATAAATTTTAAAAAGGAATAAAAAAGCTCAATCTTTGAATTTGAACAGTGTGTGCTGGACATTTCAGAAAGCGTTCCAGATACTGCCAAAGACTTTCTATTGGACATTTGAAAACACTTCTCCAAAACGGCAAAGATATTATCTTGTTAAGATTTTGCAACAGCGGAAGTACAAAGCAACCATGGGCCATGAACACAAATATTTACTGAATCTGTACCTTGTGGAAGAACGTATATATTTTGGCACACATTATCATCATTTTTCCAAAGGGAAAAGCCACCCACAGATATCAAAAGGCAGGAACTTTCACTTTGCTCACTCAGGCTGAAAACATGTACATCCCTTGATGGGGCAGCTTATATCACGGCAAGTCATTAAACGTAAAGAACTGACATAGTGAAAACATCTCTACTTCCACTCCTATACTCTTGCCTCCTGTTTGAATATCTATGAGTTACTTTTCCTATATTCAGCTACCTCACCAGAAGACTCTTCTCGTAGAGCTCGCCTCTCCAGGAGCAGCAAGGTGTGCCTATTTTCTCTCTAGCACTGGACCTGGCAAAGAGACATGGACCCTTTTTGGAAAGGCGAGTGTTCCAAGCATGCCTTGCTTATTCTGGTTTGTACATTGCCGTTCAGTCTTCCCATGTCTGAAGCATTTATCATACAAAATGTTAAAGCAAGATCATCAAGTTTAGAGGCTAAGTCTAGAAAGCTAAGTTTACAGGGTCCTTTTTATATAAAAGGATTCTCTAAATCTACAGTGAAAGAAGAAAAAGAAAAGCATTTAGTGCTGCTTATCATACTGAAAGACTATCTTGGAGTTAAGAAGTTCCCCATACCCAACTGTAACAATCCGTGGAAAACTGAGTAGGATTCCACCTTCTGGATGGCACTACATCTGTGGGAACTCAAAGAGACGGCATCACTGGTGGCACTAAACGTGCAGACTCAGCTTAAAGACTGCTAAAGCTTAAATGTTTGCAAAAAGTCTAACTCGGGTCTGACTTCTTCAGTAATAGTAGGGCCTCAGTATTACTGTAGTACTATCAATTCTGTAGGTGTGTAGGTAGAGCACAAGGTAAAGGAGAATACTTTCAGAAGCACTGCAGTGAGAAATCCACATCCCAAGTTCAGATAAATGTAGTAACACAAGGTGAGCGTTAATGAAATCTGCTCCTTTTGTAGCTAAGAAGCATGATATAAATGGCAAATATTTCATCAAAGTGAAACATCACTATTTTCCTTTCACTCACCCTTACAGCTTTTAACAAACTGTGAAAGACATGATTTAAGTTACACGAGCACAAAAACTTCATGAGACAAATGCTACAATTCATAACGCAGAGAAATAATTGCAAAAAAGGACAGAACACATTTTCTGGTACTCCACAAATATTCAGAGGAGGTTTAACACACAAAGTGGAATTTCTTCAGCAGCACTGATTAAACTCAAGATGAGGCAAGGATCTTCTTTACAAAGTAAAGGCACCAGCTCTTTGTAAACACATACTCCTCTCACTTTAACTGAGAAAGCACTCGAAATATTCTGTGGAGGCAACCTGCGTGGTAGCGTTCCATTGCCTACAAACACTTCACAGTGGAGATATCAAAGGCCTTTCTCCTCCTTTTTACTATATTTAATAAGGAATCTTTTTTCTTCAATTGATCTAGTGGGAAACTTTTTAAATCTCCCCAGAAATGTTACAGTGAATCTATAAGACAGTGTTTTCTCTTATCTGCCTTCTGATATCTATCGAGAAGTTTCAAGGCAAAAAAAAAGTCAGATGCCAGTATGAAACACACACATTTGCAGTCATCTCTTGTTTTCAGTATTGTGCTATAGACAGTTTCCCAGAGGGAACCGTTGGCTTATATTAAAAATACAGATACATTTAAAAAAAGGAACTTGTGAACATCCTCCAGCTGTGCAGCTACCTACTCTCTGACTTTTCAAATGCACTAGCAAAGACTGAATAAGAAAAGAAGATTAGATACTTCTGATCATGATGACTGTACTTAAGGATTCCAGATTTTTTCAAGTATGCATCCTGAATGTACATGTCTCCCTAGCGTGGAGAGTATTCACACAGTTCTCCACTAATGAAACTGCAAAACTTGAAAACTGTTAGAATAAATATTCCATACAAAGGCAAATTGTTTGCGTCTTGGGCAAAATGAACTGAGCATCTTCATAGTTTCCACCACACAACTATCAGCAATATCACCAAACACATTTTACTACTCATACACACAAATCCAGTGATTACACCAATTAATATTTTTCAGTATCCAAACAAACTTGTGCATTTCTAAGTCACCTTCTTTCAGCTTTATAAAGCCGACTGAATTTTTAATGTAGTACTTTCAGGTTCTACAGGACTGTCAACTGGTACCTGG